TTAATAAAATATTTTTTTTTGGACTGACTTGCTTTTGCGGGTGAAATAATTTAGGCATTCGTTCATTTAGTTGTAGCAATAGTAGAGACGTTTTCTAATAATAAGAAATAAATGAATTCAGACACTAGCATTTCTTAATTTTTTTCTGTGATTCAATCTATCAATTTACACCGTTTTTGTCGTCCTGAACAGACCGAGGATCGACAAGAGCCTTAGTGATAATTCAAAACATGAGTACACATGAGTACATATCTGTATGCATTAGAGAATGATCCAATATTAACATTGAAGCGATAAATTTATTATAATTTGCGTGAAATAATTATATTGTTATGATGGCTAATTACCGAATAAAATTGAGGAACACTTCGTTATGATCTGACAAGGAATGATCGTATCACTTTTCCTATATTCAATTAATTCAACTGATTATGTTTTTCCAAAAGTCAATTACGGAATGATTGATAATTGGAAATGGTCTTAAATTCTTCACAAAAAGTTTTCATAGTAAATAATATTCTTAGCATCATTTAATAAAGACTATTATACGTAAATACTCATATAAGCATGATTTATTAGGGACTGAAAAGTTAAAAACTCAATAACAGGACATAGCAATTAAGTAGTAAGGACGGAGTAAGTCATTTATTAGAGCCGGTTGCCGTGGTTTGTCGATACTCTCGCAGTCGACACAGTGTTTTTGACAGCCGCTCGTTCTGTCGTGAGAGCAATTCGATCTTTTCGCGGTTCGAAATCAGTTGCTGTGTCATGTCTGCCACAGGATCGTCTTCAGGCTTTAAAACAGTTCCGTCTTGATTCTCCTTTACAGGACCATTGTCTTCGGCGATCTTTGTCTTTTTCTTTTCTTTTTTATTGATTATCTGTGCACGCAGAGATGCGATCTCTTGATGAAGTTGCTCGACTTTTTCCTCGTACTCGTTTTTTAACTAAAATATATGTTCAGGATAAAGAAAGCATTAGTAAAGAGTATGTAAATGTGACGAATACGTGGAGGTTTGTAATGCAATCTAAAATTCTAATTGAGCTTCTATCAACGAAGGGATAAACTGTTGGGCTTTCAAAACTACAAGGCAAGCAAGGTAGTTCCTAAAGCCAAACAAGCTTTCTATTACAATTACAGCCAACCGGTTAGAGACTGGTTTGTTGGTCTCTACTAGGTACTTGCGTGTTGGTATATTTCGTTTTTATGATGAAACACTTTATCTTCATAAGTACATCTAATTTAATAACTAATTCAAAGTTATTAAAGATAACTATTTCATTTCGTCTTTAATAACTTATTTTTTATTTTTTAAATTATATTAACTCCACGATAAAATAAATTGGATTAGTGAAATATATTTGAGAGGAGAAATATGATTAATTACATGGAAACGAATTTTCTCTTCTGTCATAGGATAATATAAGCGAGTAATACATTAATTTACGATTTAATTGTCTATGGACGTATGTACACTGTAGAGAGGTAGTAGCTTAAATTACAAGCAAATTCTATCATTTCGTGTACTATTAACGTACTCTACCAAGCAGGTCAATCAACATCGTTAATTAATACCCAATCAGTTGATGTAACCCAACCAAACGGAAGCTTCAACGAACCTTGAATCACCGCACCGAAGGCCAGGAAGATGTGGATCGTAAAATCTGATCAAATTATCCGAATAATCTTTCGTCACATTCGTTTGCTTTACACGCTACGTTAATCACAATGAAATTTTGAAGCAAGTAATACACTAATTAAAGCAGAAACTATATTTTGTTTACCATAATTTAAAGCAGCTTCATTTATGCATAAGAATGTCAGATGTAAATTGTTAACAATGGGACATAGAATTTTGAATAACGCTTTCCGTTTCGATTATCAGAACATATGAGGAAAATCCTAATCGCACGTGTCGGAAAAATACTTCGGGCTCACCGAATCGTTTTCCTTTCTCGATTCGTCTAGAAGTGCTTGGTAGCGTCGTTCTGTCTCGAGATACGCATCACGGGCGACGACAATTTCCTTTCGGAGTCCGATCACGGTTTTCTCCAGCTCCAATTTGCTCTCGGCCAGGGCAACCGTCTGACTTTGCAAAACGTTATTTTCCCCGGCTGCAATGAACGTTTGAAAATAAGACTATTTTTTGCCGTGGACACCTCGACACCGTTCGCTTCCGCTCTTGGCTACAATGCAGCTTGTTAAACTCTCTGCGAAAACTTCCGGAGAATCGACTAACAATAAGTGAAACAGGCCGGCAGCTCTTGTTGTATGCTCTTTTTTTTATACTCACCTAGCGTCGACAACCGGCTTCGAGTATCATTCAGTGCTCCTTCCAGCGTCTCCTTTTCTTCTTTTGAATCAGCATTGCTACTTTCTAGCTCCGTAAGTTTTCCTCTCGCTGTTAATCAATAGAATGCACTGCTTCATTTATTTGAACATCAATAAATTCTCGAATTCTTTATCGTCACAGTATAATAAATATTTTTCAAGTACACGTTCGTACGAACGAAAAAGAAGCAATATATTTATATTATTTACTTATTTGTTTAGAATTATAAAGAATATTTCTTAACTTTCAAAACAACTTTTATTCCGATCCTTTATACTGCAATTTATGATACTAATGAGTTCGTTCGTGTTATAAATTATTTTATTATTATGGGATGTTTCATTCTTCTCGTTTGTCTCGTGACTGGATAGATTCTGCTACAATTTAGTACTCGCCGCGTCGGGCACTCATAAATCTCTCTCGATCGATTGCCAGACTGTACACTGTATGCACAGTAATGCACACCTGGCAGTGTGGCAGTGGGACAGAAGGATTTCTCTATCGAATTTCCCGCGGGTTACTCAACCGCGATCACTCCCATACGTGCATTCAAACGAAATCAATGGAGTCCATCGATTTGCCGCGCTATAATATAACTAACAACCATCGCATCGACGAAATCTCACAATCAGAGCTATTTAACTTTTAATCGGTGAAACGATTTCCGATACACTCGAATAGTAAGTTTCTATTCGTCGAACCTGCTAAGTGCACGAGATAAAAAGGAGATACAAGAGAAAAGAACAATGGGAGCAAAAAATATATAAGAGGAAAAGGAGGAGCAGTGACAAGAAAGAAGCGCACCGTTCTGGAGCGAGTCTTTCAGTTTCAAGTTTTCAGCTTGCAGAGCTTCTGCTCGTTCCTCCTGCGCCATCATGCTTATCCGTAGCTCTCGAATCGCCTGATCGTGATCTCGTTTGACGGCCTGTGTTCTCAGATTCGTCTCCTTCACCATGCTAAGCGCCGTCCCGACGTCTCGTCCTATCCCCCTCGACAGTCTGCTCATCACGGCCCATTGAGTTCTCTCGTAAATGTCATTCTTGCATTCGTACCTGAAACGATCATCGAGCGTATGAAACACATGAGTTTATCTCGACTTCTTGACTTATTTGCTTAAAACCCGGAAGGGTGATCTCTGTATCATACCTTTCACAGGTAATTGAGTATGAATTACCAGAAGAGGGCAACAGTATTCTATGCTTGGTTGATACATAATTTAATGGTTTTAATTTCTTGTGAACATAAGAGGGAATATTGCAATTTTTTATTAACCTCATGATTTTAAAAATTGTTTTTTCTTT